CGTAGAACATGTCCAAGCCACCAAAGTTGGTGTTTCATGATGGTGACACCAATTGAATTATCATCTCTGTGCTCGAACATACGATGCCGAACCTCATCATTACTAACATGGTGTTGCCGCTAGATGTCAGCAATCCTTCGAAGACAACGATGATCGAACACAGAAAGTCGTCTAACGTCCTCAACTCGGAGAGGCCAGGTTTCACAAGCATAGAGCAAAACTGCTCTCACCGACGCGTTGTAGATCAGACCTTTTACAGCCAGATTGACATCACGAAGGTGCCAATGGTGGCCCAAATTGGCATAAGCCGCTCTGACTTTCACTATACGTGCATTGATCTCATCACCCACACACCCACAAGCGCTTATGCAGCTACCCAGATACACGAACTTCTCGACTACTTCTATCTGCTCAACAGCCTGGGTGAGTACAGGATTAGAATCTTGCCAGACTTGTGGAAATACTTTGCACTTCGAAGGTGCAAAGCACATATCATACCTACAGACATTGATTGCCAACTGAATAAAAGTGAAAATAATTCTACACTGATGTATTATTCACTTGTCTTATGATTAAAAATTAATTAGACTTTTCTGTAGGCTGCTGTAAAATAGGTATTTGTGAATTATTAGTTGTGTACGCATAAAACTATGTCAGGAATTCATATAAAAATGATGATATTCATGAATTTCACTGGTTAATACAATGCTAAAATCATGCATGTATATGGAAATAACTAGCCGCCATTAATTTAAGAATAAATATATTAAAACCTTTTCATAAACGCTTTATACAACCACTAGCATATCACCTTAACCTATAAGGACTGATTATCTATCTTTAGTTTGATGAAAAACCATAATTTCTTTTAGCATCTCTGTATTCGACTATAAATTTTCGGATTGCATGCCTTGGGCATTATTGCACAGTAAGACAATGCCATCAGCATACTCAAGGTCGAGAAGTCTTTCTCCAGGTAACAGATACACACCACCATTACTTACATTCCTCAGAGCTGTTTCCAGAATGTCATCGAAGGCAAAGTTGAAGATTAATGGTGAGATTGGGCAACCCTGCCTAACCCAACTGCTCGAATAGAACAATAGAGAAAGGTGGTTGTATGCCCTCACTCTGCCTGAGGTGTTTTTATATAGGGCTTTTAGGATGTTAATAAACTTCTCAGGCACACCCTTCTTTAATAGACAATCCCAGAGAACAGTCCTATCCAACGAATCGAAGGCAGCCCTGATGTCAAGAAACACTACGATTGTTGGCCTTTGATAACTATGGCGGCGTTCTAACATTTGGCGGAGGGTGAAGATATGATCAATACAACCTCGACCAGAACGAAACCCAGCCTGCTCCTCGCGAGTCAATCTTTCTCGGGTTTTGAACAACCTACGAAGTATGACGGAAGCCAATAGCTTGGACGCAATCGGAAGTAGACTTATCCCCCGATAGTTGTTGCAGGAACGACGTGAACCCTTTTTAAAGATGGGGACAACTATCGACTCATTCCATGACGTTGGTACACACTCTAGTTCCCAAACCTCTGTAAACAACGTCGTCAATTCCTTAGTCGAAAAGTCACCACCATCTTTAAAAAGAGCCGGAGGTAAGTCATCTGGGCCAGATGATTTGTAACGATTCAAGAGTTGGAGATCCTTGCGGACTTCCTCCTCGTTTGGTGGATCAGTCGTCACCGGCCATGGAGGGCAGGACAGTCTGACCGATGTTGCCGGAGCAGCAGGCCAGTTGAACTGCCCTTCGAAAAATTCTGCCCATCGTCCAAGACGTCGATGGATGTTAGTGTTTGGCATCCCATCATCCTCGCAGATTGTTTCACTCACACCAGACTTCTTGCTGCCAGTGGCTCGGATGAGCTGGAAGAGCTTCCGGTAGTTACCAGATGCAGCTGCTGCTTCCAGCTCATTAGCACGCTCCGACCACCAGGCTTCCCGGTCCTTACGAAAGCTTTGCCCAATTTCCTTACGTAGCATCCTTCATTTATGGTCAAACTCACGGTCACCCGGAGTAGACCGACGGGCTTCAATAAGTTGTAAGGAACCAGAAGAAACCCAGTGCTTAAAAGCGGGACGTTTCGCAAACCCACAACTGACTGTACCCGCCATTTTCATGGCGTCATGCAATTGCAACCAATGCTCATCTATACCTTTCGGTGGAGTGGTAGCTAGCCTAGAGGCTAGCTCGGTTCGATACTTATTTGCAACAGAAGTTGCAACCAGTTTGCTAATATCAATCCTTTTCTGGCGGTCACTTCATTGTCCACTGGAAAGTAAGGCAAGATTGGCGCAGACCAAGGCATGGTCAGAGTCCAGGTAGGTACTCCAAAAGGAGCGACAGTCTTTTACACAACCACGCCAGCGATAGCTGATCGTGACGTGATCGATCTGAGTCCAGGCTTGGGATGCAGAGGGAGGACGCCAGGTGGCACATCGGCGATGACTGTGCCAAAAGTTAGTGCTAGCCAGAAACAGATTGTGGTCTGTGCAAAGTTGCAGTAGACGGTCCCCGTTATCTGACCTGCGACCAACGAGTCTCCATTGGCCACCTAAACGACTCTCTTCTGTGCCTAGACGCCCGACCTGAGCATTCAAGTCTTCCGCTGGTACTACAATATCTGTCGAGCGCACTTTCTGGAGAAGAACAGATAACTGGTGGTAAAACTCATCCCTGATTGCATCCGGGCTGCAATCTGTCGAGGCATAGGCGGAGATGACGAAAAGACATCGTTTCTCACGCCGATTTCTTCTCACTTTGATGGAACTTTCTAATCTAACAGCACATAGCCGACTGTTAACGGGGATCCAATCGACTAGTGCTGCCTCAGCTCTAGCGCTTAGTGCGACACCAACGCCAGAAGGACCGGACGAAGATGCCACATGGTTCCGAGATAAACGCACGTAAAACAATCTTTTGAAGCGACAAATGGGGATCGAATTTGTAGTACTTCACCAGAGTCTTGAATACGGGTCTCGGATAGACAGCAAACATCAATATTAAGACTTCCCAAAGACATAGCCACGCCTATCTATTGTCCGACCTGCATAAATGTGAGAACGTTGAAGGCAGCCAGTTTGAATGGTGCACGTGGTTTCAGAAAAACTGCTTCGGTATTCGTATTTAGTGGTAGCATACAATTTTCAACCGGACAGTGGCTCGAGAACGTTTAGATAGAGTCGAATTTACACCATAGATGAGCTTCTGTATAAGTCGAAAAAATAAGTATAGATATAGTAGGAATAGAAAAGGGTGAATAATGCCGTAGTAAATAATAATGGTAATACTAATAAAAATAAAAATAACAATAGTATTAATAATATTAATTGAAACATTTGAATGTTAGTCGAAGCGAGAGAATTAGTTTTCATAACCATCGACAGTCCAGTTCAATATTTGTGTTTGGGCTGCCATACTGCTCGGGTGCCCAAACCGAAGCAGGAGGTTTTCTTAGGGGGCCACACCCCGAGCCTTTGACCTAAAGGTCTAACCCACAAGGCAGTGGAGCATCGTAAGAAGATCCAGTCGCATGGTTGCCGGTGGCCAACAATTGATTCATACGCCATTTGTTCCCTCAGGATACTGGAGCCCATATGCACCATTGGTTTGGGATCCCGTTAAAGCTGCGGACATTCGATTTTCGTTCTCTCATTTTCGTAAACAACACTCTAGCTACGAGAAGGATGTGAGTAGAACTTCCCTGGCAGAGGCTGTATACGAGTGGCCGTGTGAGAATATTTCGAGAGGGAAGGCGAACCCACCCCGCTCTCGGCAATACCAGGGCATTTGGGGGCATCGACCAAAGTACTTGACGAAGCGATACTAGCAATCAAACGTTTAGGGAAAAAATATCTTTTCAAATATCGGAAAAGCTCACTCCCAAAATATCACCAAATGTGCATAAAGAACGGATTGAAATCAATGGCTTTCATAGATGATAAAAGAATTCATGAACGATCAATGGCTTTCTAAATACTACATTCGGTTTCTATAGTTGATGATAATTTTAACAAGTCATAGAGAAAGAGCTTAACTTATATATGTGTAGTGGCAAGAGTTTATCGAAAGTTTAAAATAACTTAACGGATTTCGTCTTCCACTTCAGATATTTAAATAAGCCTCTTTGACATCCTATAAATTGCACTCAGTCGTGTCTACACAGCTAAAGGATGGAAACATTTGTGATACGTTCCGGAAGTGTTTTGGCAAAGGCGAATTAAGAAGTACGTAATTACTGTCCATAAACGGTATAAATCGATCACTAATTGCAGACGTTCATAGAATAAAGCTGGAGTACTCCTTGTCGACAAATCAACGTCGAAGGAACTGTCATTAGACATAACAACCAATGTTCATGTTAGTGAATATGGACTTGTAAAAACAGTGGATTTATACAAACCAAGAATATTTCGTTTGTTAGAGATGTTGGTAGGGCGGGGGAGATGTGAAGTAAAGGGATAGTCGAAAATCAAGCATCTTTCCCACTTAACAGAAACTCCTGATTCGTATTGCAGAACGTGATTCAAACAATCAGGTGCTTCATCAAAGTAAGTTCTACTCGAGATGGTGAACAATAAACATAGAATTTAAACTTGGTTAAATGTACACTTATTTACAAACTTGGTGATGCGGATTTATCCACATTACGAAATTGGTCACAAATAATTAACACTATAACAATGAGTGACATTCTCAGAGATCTTCATCCACAGATTTCAAGAATGGTATGCCTCTTTCTTTATTCCTGACACTGAAGACGTGAAGGCTTGAGGCTTATACTTTTCATGAGGCATAGAAATCTTATGGAACTAGTTCTATACAAAAATCGGTTTGAGTTCTTCTGGAGAACCAGGAACAAAGTGTTAGAAAAGATCAAGTTTTTAAAAAAATTAACAATATTATGTACCAGGTTTGCTTTTTAACTGCTATTTTCCGTAATGCATCGTGAATTTGTTTTAACCAATAAAACGTTGAGTAGCCATACAATGACTTAGCCCATCGCAGGTGGCGGCAAGGCTCACGTATGGTCCTGGCAGTCTACCTTTCGTGAAATGCGAGTGTGAGTGTCTGTAAAGAATAAATAATAGCATTTGCAACATAAGCTACGTTAGGAGTTAATTAGTGTTTGGACCGGGATGTAAATCAAACTGTGATTACTGTATTTGTACCACATGTTAAAGATAGCTTAAAATCTGACATGAAAAACCTGAGTTCAGACTGCCTATCCGTCTCATCAAAGTGCTGCATGCACTAAGTATCCGCAGTGTTCTTCGAGGCTTTCTATTGTTAGACGTCCTAATGTTGGTCCACGCCAGTAGGTCTATGGGTTAATCCAGATACTTCAACCAATCAGACAAGTAATAACCTAATCACCTCACAGCTTTCATTTTTGGCATGTGACTTGACAACATACAGTACAATACTCTGTCTTTTGTCTTTACCACTTGTGACTTTTCGTAACGCTAAGTATTCTGACTATACGGACCTTGTTTTAGCAAGCTGATAAAGTGATTTTCTCCGAACTTGGTGTATTCTACTGTGGTGTTATCATCCCTGTTCTCTGTCCCTGCAGTGGTCATGATCGCATGACAGAAGTGTGCAATATGATGATCAAACGCAGTGATATGCAGTTACTACATGCTTGCATCAACCTTAGTACTGACTCAGTCATAGACATCCTTAAACCTAGTGTGTCTCGATTTGAGTTATCACACTACATCAGCATCGTAAGGTAGTTTTATCATACAATTCCCAGTGTAGTACAAGTGATAACTTTCAATAGTAATAGAAGAGGTACAAACCAAGAAAGTAGTAAATTTCGGTATTCAGGGTCTGAGGACATAAAGAATAGACCCGCCTTTACCATTTTTGACGATTCCGAGCCATGCTACTCAAATTCTCAACTCACCGGTTACGGTGGTCGCGAAAATTCCAACATATTTGACTATGCCTACTAACATGACAGCCCAAAAGTCAGTGACAGGTTGATGCTGTCCTAGTTTGGTCGCTAACAGCTTTCACCCTCCTCATATAACAGATATCGCTCTCCAAGGTAGGGGGTGGTAGGGCGTATGCAACGGATGTCCAGTTAACTTCGAGCGTCGACAATATGCTACTTCGTCATTCCTCTCTGGGATTGCTATTATTTCGATATACCATTTCACTTTGGTTGTACGACAGTATTTGTGCCAGATCAACATGACAGACTTGCGACTCGGTGATCCGTTTGATCGCTTACTACTTGTAGTAGTTCAAAAGTCGCATCCATGGTACTAAAAGTTTACAAATTATATGTGCAACATCTGTTTGTACTCGATCTGGATTCATGTTACGTCCCTTGTGATGCATGGACAACGGCAAGTCAACAGCGCTAGACATGTGCCTAAAATTCAAATCTTACCATTGGTCTTGTCTTAGTAGTTCATGAGCTGGCTTCTCCGCCACGACGATCTCGCATGGTATTGTTTACAATTGCCTATTCCCTTCAGAGTTAATTTTCGACTGTCTTGTTTAATTCCAAATATCCAATCCCTAAGGTTTGGTTAAATACATTCACTTTCGGGTCATCGAAGGTGACTATGATTCTTAAACAGTCTGTCGTCAGCTAGATGATAAATCATTGACGTTTTGTGGTTTCAGATTCCTCTCACGCTAATCGAAAATGCACTGAAATGGTACGTTCTAGCAACGAGTTCTAAAAGGAGTAGAATCATAGTTTGTTATTGATTCAGAATAATTTGAATTTTGGTTGTGATCGGCAAAAAACTGGATATAGTTATTATTTGAGGTTAGGATATTTCAGGAACAAAGTTAAGACCGACGGAATAAGAATAACATCCAGGGAGTTGTTTTTTCCTTGTGCGACAGACGAATATTTCAAAACTAACAGTTTATCCTACCTGAGATAACTTGTCAGTTACAGTAATACCTCATCAGCAAGTAAAGTTAATTGTTCCATCCCGTTCGCTCTATGGCGATAGGTTACTATTTTAACATTAATTAAAGCAGGCCTGTTGTAAAATTCTTCCTGTAGCCATCATGAAGTTACCAATAATGTCATGGAAATACATGTCATTTAGATTTTTATGGGTTACAAAGTTCAGTTTCAAGTTACTCTTATCCATTGCGGTCGTCGGCCCCTATTTAATTAACTACGTAAATTTGAAAGACTTCAGACAAACTGCGTGCGTTCGAGTAGTCCTAAGCAGAGCTTTATCATATATATCTTATTGACAGTTAATAATTGCATAGTATTTATACAAAGTGACATGATGATAATCATAAGTGTCTTATGAACTCGTCGGTGTGTTAGTCGTTTCTGAATTATTGTTCTTGTTTTTTTAGCGATATGGATCCTGCCTCCATTTTTGAGGATGCACTTAAAGGTCTTGCAACTAAGGATTTCGATAACGGAAATGCTAAACCATGTGACAATCTACAGACGTCAGTTAATGGTTCTAGTGACTTTCTAAAACCTGAATCTTACATCACATATCCCGACAATCCACAATTACCTTCCATACAAAATACTCAGAAGGTTTCAGAAGAAGCTCCTAGTGCTTCTCAAAATGACATCATCCTCAGTGCTCTCATAAATGCTGGGATTGCTCCATCCTCTTTAAAACCTCAAGAAGTTTACTCTAATACTCCTTCAGTTTCAGTTACTGTGAATCCGAACGTTAAAGTTCTCAATGCTCAAGGTACTACCATACTGAGGGTTGTTCCACCAGGAAATGGCAGCAATTCACCAGTTCAGCAAGCTTATCCTCCTCGAATGGCTAGTCAGTTGTTAAAGAAGCCTTCTGATAATGGTCTTACAATGTCTGGAATTACTCACATGCCAAATATTATACGGAAAAGGCCTCCTTCGCTTGTCGAAACTAGTCAGCCTTTTTCAAAAATTAGACGTGTACTTAACCATGGTCCAGTAGATAAAGACGTTAGCCATCAGATCACAGCATTTTCTGGTATGGGTACTGTCCCAACTAGCTCAAGTAAATGGTATGAGGCTCCTAATGTTTCACGACCATCTTTGCCTCCTCACTGCGTCCGAGTACCTAGTCATACTCAAATGACTCCCAGATCATACCCGTTGATAAAAGTAAGTTTCTAATTTTCGTTCAAATATCTATTATTACATCTAGAATGTTCTTAGTTCCTGAATTTTTCAGTGTTGAATGCAATAACCTGTGTCTCACACTCCTGTCCAAACTTTTGCGTTGCTCGTTCACATCTGTTCTGCAATCGTAAATTGATTCCACTAAGCTTCCTGTTACTACTTATCAGCTTCAAAAGCACCGAGTAATACCCACACTAGTGTACATGTTAAAGGTTGACATGAACTTCTAGACATTCTTTTATATACAAATTCAACTGCAACTATCCAACTTCTGTCTAATTCAATGCTAACTGAATACTAAAGGCCCTTGATCTAGACACTCGGAAATGAGAATAGATGCACTGCTTTCGCTTCTTGTAGTGTCGTTTCTCATACATAATTCATTGAACAGGACTGTTCTGCGTTATTCGTTAGGATGATATGTTTTCAAAGTTTACTAACAGCTTGAAGGCTTTGTACACAAACACCTCACCCAGAGAGAGAGAGAGCACACAACCACCTATCTTTATTATATAGGACTGTCATCTGTAGGTCCGACACGGTCGGCTGGTCAGAGTTGTAGAGATGGTAGTTGCCGTAATCATAGAGTAATCATAGAGTTCATTGTTTGTGTGTGGGCTGTGATACTGCCCGGGTGCCCAAACCGAAGCAGGTGGGAGATGGGGGAACTAACTAGCTTGATATTTTATCAGATATAGTTCAGAATAGAAAGTGGTGCAGATCTTGCAGTAATTTCTTATATTAGTCATAAAAAATGTAGCGACTCGTACAACCAGGAGAATTTTTGATTGTATTTAATTTATTCAGAACTATTGTGATGGTCATTAGGAACGTTGTCTACGTTAAAATAGTAAGAGTTTAATCTGTAGATGAATTTGTTGATCACTACATAAATTCGCTTCTAATATTGATGTGTTGTTTTGTTTACAAACATGATTTTTTGAAGTCATTCTAGTATACTATCGAGAAACTTGATGTCGTTTATGCTCTCTTTTAGCGAGATGAAGATATGGATGAAGATGAAGATTTAGCTCAAGCTGAAACGTATGCTGACTATATTCCGTCAAAACGTAAGTAAATTTATGTTTTCTTAACATACATGCACTCATAATTAGTGCACTGCACATTAATTGTGTTGTGCTTCTAGGTTGGTGCAACATCAATGCTTGTGTATGCTACAGGACCAGCATTAGGAGAATTAATGCTTGGTAGTTTTGCATACTATAGTCTTCGATTAGTGTAAATATTTTTGGAACAACCCATATGATTTGATCATATTCTTACTTCATGAGTTCGACTCTAAGTAATAAAGCGATCAAATTGACTAAGCGTCTATACAGTTGTTAATAGGACATTTACTTTTTAGTAGTGTACATACATTTTCATCAGATACACTAACCTTAATATGATGATCGTCAAGGTGAATACTGCCAAATTGTCCTAGTCGTTATTAGCCTTATAAAATAGTTGGTTACATCTTATTAACAAAACTTGAGAATCATTTCGACTGACTCAAAACAAAATGTTAAAAGTGACTTTATTTCCTACTGGAGTTAGGAAGAATGAGATGGAGGAGCAAAACATAATGTTCGTCTTTCAAACTTCTTCAGAGTTGCGGTCCAGCATTAGTGGGTTCACTAAGGGAGGTATCAATGGGTATGGAGGTCTGAAATGGGTTCCGTCGACACACCTAATCTATTAGGTGCTCTTGTTTAAAAGAAATAACAAAGCTTTTTCGATAGCTACAGAAAAATCAGTTTAGCTAACATTCACTTAAATACTAAAGTCTAGTCATCTGATACCCAAACAGAGACGAGGAAATCAAACCTAAGGAAATAAGGTATGTCCTATTAGCTGTTTTTATGCACTGGCTATTTTCCTTAGTCTGAAGCTTTATTGAAATAACTAACCTCAAAGGAGTTGCTGAAAAAAGTATTATATTAATTATGGAAAATGTATGACTCGAGTCTTGGTACATAAACTTATTTTCGGTTACTAAGTAACATTCGTAATTGTAACTAAATTTTTATTACAGCTTTCATAGGAGTCGAAGCCCTGATGTTATATCTTGACTTGACAGTGGTCCACAAATAAGGAACTTGCTGTTCAAACTAGGATTTAAAGTGTTTTGTCTGGTGACACAAGTTTATTTGTTTTCAATCTTTCACTCTAAACTTTTAACCCTTTGTTACAACCTATTAACTTGTGTTCTCCGCTTTATTGGTGAAAAATCTTTTTGTACCATCTTTTCCACAATTAAATAATAACAAGTCTTGCTAAACCTAAAAGTTTCATGTGTCGGAATTTCGATAATTTGTAGTGAAGCACTATATATATATATATATATATATATATATATATATATATAATGGGGCAACCTTAGTAGATACAGTCCCATGATAGACGATGACCAACAACAGGTTCATACGCCTTTTGTTCTTTTAGGATCCCGAAGCCCATGTACACCGATGCTTTGGAATCAGGGTTTTCCAACTTCCCTGTGTGGGGATCCCCCGTGTCCACTAACCAGTTTAATGCGCCGGACATTCGCTTTTCGCTCTCAATTTCGTAAACAGCACCCTCGCCACGAGAAGGCATCGAGCAGGACTTGCCTGATAGTGGCTATTTACGTTTGCCCATGGGAGAGCATTTCGAGAGCGAGAGCGGACTTAATAGTTATACAATAAGATTATATATATCAGTCCGTAAATATATCCTAGCAATTACCATTCTCTTATTCTTCGTTCGGATATAACAATTATTCGACATTTACTCTTACAATTTGTCAATTCTTGCATATTACATATTGGTCTTTACTGTTCTTCATTATTCTTTCTCGGGCTTTTGAGGAAAGACTGCTATGTTGCGGAAAGTGCTAAAGACAGTTAATAGTGGTGATTAATATGGTTGTGGACAGACATCTAAAGTCCTGTAAACTTCTGACAGGTGTTATCTTATTAGATGCTGACTATTCACTTCATTCATATATTTCTCCTTATAGTGTGTACGCTACTTATGTTGACAAGCATAAGTAGTATGTAACATCAATCATAGGTGGAATGCCTGGCTGCCGAAGATTGGGAAGATAAAATTGAAGAGGACAGGAATATATACAGAGAGTAATTTTGACAACATTTGGAATGAAAGGACGATGAAGTTTGTAAAAAAACAATAAATCGAAGACGCCCAAATGATGTATTTAATGTGTGGTTTTAATATTTTACAAAAACACTAATGTTGCATTAAACAATAAATTGTTCTTTCCCATCTGAGTTCTCGTTCACTACAGTATATCTTCTGGTAGAACAATACGTCAATACATTGGAATCCCCGCATGCAAGCAAAGGTATAAACGCTCTACAACACCTTAACTAGCAAATTTACTATTTGATAAACAGGTTGTTAGGGTTGTCCTAGTCCATAACTTGTATTCTTTAAATTGTTTCTAACTGAAAAATGTACAAATTAAAATCCTAAAACAGACATTTCATTTAATTTCAGGTAGCTTATCTACTTAACTATTTTATATATGTATGCAGTTATCAGTTTCTTTCAACTTTCTTCCTTTTCCATTGATAACAATAAGAAATAACTTCATGTTTTTAAAATATAATAACGTTCTTGTTATTTCAGTGAATTATGGACAAAAGCATCCAGATCCTGTTGTCGAGTCGAGTTCCTTGTCCAGTGTCTCTCCTCCAGACATTCATTATCGTCTTATTCTTCCGGATGAAGTTATCGAGCGAGCGTATCTTTCAGCTTTGCAACTGGAAGCAGTGGTGTACGCCTGTCAACGTCATGAGTGTATCTTACCGAATGGTCAACGTGCTGGGTTTTTAATTGGTACGTTATTTTTTGTTTGCGTAGTATTTATCATACATTTTCGTCGCTTAACGAAACTAAGCTGTGGTACTAGCTAACAAAACGTGAATTTCTGTACTCATTTTATCCATTGAACTTGGCGGAATGGGTATCAAATTTTTCAAAGAATTGTTTAATTTTTTTTTGTGAAGCTATTCTTTTAGGATAACTAACCTTATGAATCGAATCTATCCGAGTCAAAGGACTAATCTAATGCTACTTAACATATGTTGATATGTTCGACTATTTTGGTCGTGAGGTTTTGTGGTTGTTATTGAAAGGCGTATCAATGAGGTGCATTGACCTTGTTAAGACTTTCTACTCGAGTGGTTCTGATTAAGTCAGAGCTCACGACTAACTGGTATCAAAATTAATAACTTCACGTGTCGTTCGTCGGCTTTCATTTTCCCCGTTTTTATTTAACTTTGTCGTAGAAAGGCTTTTAGCGACAGAACTTTCATCTTCTGATTTCAGGGGTCTATCTTGCACCAGCAGACTATATACTTCTGCTTGATGAAGTCGCTGACAAAATACAGTGTTTTGACCACTTTAATAAGCAATTCAGGCATGCTTGGGATGCGATTCTCTCTTTAAATGCAAAGTGTTGTTTCAAGAGTAGTTTGCGTCAGTGCCTGAATTAATGATAAGGAGTGGAAAAGTTGATCGTACAGACCACTTCATTTATCTTAAGGTTGTCAGCAGTGCTGATGTTCTGGTGTCTGATGAAACCTCAGCACGGATTCAGGAAATCCGATTGAAGTTTGTCAACTTGAGTCACTCGTGGTTTGAGTGAGATGTCTGTCTGCCAACCAAAAGCGTGTGTACTGCAGAGAAGTCTGGTTTACCTTGTGGCTGTGGAACATTCTACGAAATTAGAAGACCTACGTAGGCTACAGGTTTTTAGTCATGTGTTTTCGAAGCATTGCTTGGGTCCCACGTAACTGTCGAGTGAGCAATGCTGAGGTAAGGGATAGGATACTAAGTAAAAATGGTGGGATTGTAAGTATTCATCGACTAAGGTGGTTAGGACGCACTTTTTGTATGCCTGGTAACTGCTTCAAATCGCAATGCTTGATATTACAGAAGTAGTTTGGGAGAAAGCTAAACCGAAACTTGGCATCAACCCATGAGATCACTTACTTGATCTGAGCCATGTGGATGGATACAAACTACCTAGTTGGAGTCCGTATGATAATTGCGATCAGCAGTTGGAGACTGTGAAGTGGTTCTAAATCATTCATACTTGCGCAGATGCACTCTTTATTTTGCTTTAGATGTTAAGTCCCATTATTCCTCCATACATAATTCTTTCGTTTTAGGAATCGTGTTCTTAATATTCAATCTTTCTCATTATCGTCGCTATCACATTATTACCATATCTTTTACTAATCACGTTAATTATTTCTACCTCATTTTGCAATATTGTTGTGAGAACTTTGGTCAGTGCACATTTCTGCTAGGTTCTTTGTTGATCATGACTAACAGAGTAGTTCGGCAGTTAATATTTGTCTGTCAACTATAATTTTCAGAAAAGGTTTTTAGTTGTGCAAGCGTAATTAATCTTTCACTGTTAAATCTTAATAGTTTTGTATGCCTTAACTAAAAACCCTAGTGACTAATTTAGTAGCTTACTCAAGTATCTAACTATTGTAGCACGCGGTTGTTACATTTTAACGGTACAATCGGTTAACAACTTCATGTTTATGAATACTTTTTAAATGATATTGAAGAGGTTAAGTCGTAAGATCTTGGATAATACCTAGTTGTTTACCTCATAACAAGGGAACCAAATAATTTGGCTGTAGTTTAAGTCATGGTCAGACTCATGATTTCTGAATATTCAGCTATTTGGATTGGTTATTACTCAATGACATTTTAAGGGTTGTACATATTACAAGTATTCAATGTAAAACTGAATACCGGTAAATCGAAATATTACTGTGTTCATATTTTTCAAGATTGACAACAGCTTCATAGTCATTGTAAGCTAGCTATAAGAAGCAAAACAAGTATTTCCCTAAACACTTTGTAGTCCAGTCATCTTCCAATAGTTGCAAAATTTTAGGCATTATGAAGTTACTTCATTTTAGTCGAGAATATACACATTCCTATCAAGGTAAGAAAACATTTTTGTTACATGTATATAACTGTGTTTTCAGAAATTCTCTCCTTTTCATATAGTTTTCATGAATAACATTATGTAACATTGTTACTATAAGTCTAAAACTCATGATTAAACAATAGTATATCAAGGAGCTACTGTATTGTTTCAATTGTACTGGTATGAGTCGCTGTAAGGGCAGATGCGTCGTATAGCAACGTAAAGTGTCGTACTTTTGTATGACTTTTTAGATTGTGTTCACTTTTCTGTTATTGACTTGTGAACGAGCGCTTCTTAGGCGCTAGAATGGCTTTTGGTTATTCATCAAGTTTATAGTTGCCGTTTTTCTGCTGACAATACAAATTCACTTGTAACAATAAAAAGACCACAGTATCCTTCGATATTTACTTTTGTTTATTCATATTATTTGATGATAATGCGGGTGAATTATTACAATATTTCTTAAAGTGGTGCATTTGCTTGCTCCACCACAGGCGACGGGGCAGGTGTGGGAAAAGGTCGCACCATTGCCGGAATATTATATGAAAATTATTTGCGACATCGTAAGAAGGCCATTTGGCTCTCAGTTTCAAATGATTTGAAGGTCGATGCTGAACGCGATCTGCGTGACGTGGGCTTGGGAAAGATCAAGGTTCATTCCTTAAACAAGGTGAGACTGTTCGCCTTGGACTACATAAGGTCCATTCATTATTGATCCTGATGTTTATTTAACTGCTTTGTATTTCAGCCGTTGTTCTTATTCACCTATAAAGTCTAGTCGTATTAGGCGAAGTATGTTTTTTTTTCAAGATAGATTTTCAACTATACTCCCCGTCGTTGTAGCTATTCCGTAGGTAACTGGCTGTCTGATTGTTGTATATGCAATCTACCTCACCGGAATTCGACTCGTAAATAAAACTAATAAAATATATAAACATAAAGTAAGATTTCATTTAGTATTATATATTTTTATGGGCACTTGAAAAAGATGATACAGACTTCATAGATAACATCTAATTATCATTTTTGAAGGCATCCTTTTGTGTTCGTTAATAATTCACACGTATGTCAAAGTGATTTTTCCGTATACCTAATATCCTCAACAACAAAAGACAAACAGATTTGATTGTGTTTACAAACGGTTTGTACTGACTTTTGTGATAAGATTTTAGAATAATAATTTCACTGGTTATTTTCCCATAATAATATAAGTGAAAAGGTAAATCGACTAAAATTACTAATCAGATAATATTTACCTTTATTTTTTTTAATACAGATTGGTTATAATGTTGTGTTCCATATGCTTGTAACAACAGTCTTGTATATAAATCAAAGTCATAACAATCAATCCGTTTTCAATATCATTTTAGTGTAGATTCTTCATCATAGCACTCAATGATTACCTTAGAGATATAGTTTTTTGTTTTTTTTCTGAATTCATTAGTAACATCATTAACAATTTTTCACACTTCTATGTTTCTTTCTTTTTTTCCCTTCTTCTTCTTCTTTTACTATTCAGTTTAAATATGCTCGTATTTCTGGTAAAACTAATGGACGTGTAAAAAAAGGTGTTATTTTTTCTACTTATTCTTCATTGATTGGTGAAAGTCAAGGTAGTGCAAAAGCGAAATATAAAACTCGATTAAAACAACTTGTTCATTGGTGTGGGAAAAAATTCGATGGTGTTGTAAGTCAGTAATTAATATTTTATTATCTCTCTTTTCATTTTTTCTAACGTATATTGTTGAGCTAGTTCTTTTTTTTTCTCACTTTGACCTTTATTATCCTCATAAATACAATTAGATTCTCTTCGTCACTATGTGACTTGATTGAATCTTTTCAATGCTGCTTGATATCATATATAATCTTTATCAAAAAACAAGATCGAAATTTAGTTGACAAATCTCATCCCATCTTTTTATATTTTACTAATTGTTACGGGAAAAAATGATATAGATCTTTGAGGGGGATCTATGCTAAGCGCTTTTATATGGTATTATGGAGGGTTAATATTCTTGGCATTTAGAGTAAGAGTGATTATGCTGAATGTATTATTCTTCATTTGTTTACAAACGTTGTTGTTTAACTGATATTAAACGATTTAAACAACTGGTTGGTCTTTTTTCCCAACTTCAGTATTCACCTTATTTTTTTAAGATAGCTGTCTGAAATAAACTTTCGTCGATATTTCTATGAATGAAACAATTTACTGAGAACCTAACCAGTCGTACAATCCCATAGTCATCGCCAGCTTGTGTTAACTGTTCTGTAGAATTGTTTGCTAAGTTTTAACTTATCTAGTTATTTAAAATAAAGTTTTTAGCTAGATATTAATTGGCTTAAAGCATGTTTCATTTAGGATTATATTGAGGCACGTTGCTTATCCCATTTTTAACGAACCAGCGCTATTGGGTAAATAGGGAAGAATTTAGAATCTTCTTATGTAAAAGTTATAAATGTAATAACGTTTTATTTGATGTAATTCACATTTATCCAACTTCGTTTATTTTGGAACATGATTATCCTACTGTCCAAGACGTATCCTGATTTGGTGATCAGTTGAATGGAGTAGTGTCCGTAAAATACTGAGCATTAGATTTATCTAGTTGGATAACAAGGACTTAACAAAAGTATAATACATACAGTTGCTAAATAACGTAAGAAAATTTCAGGCAAAGATGGATAGTGGTTAGCAGTGGAATCCAGGACACGTATTTCTTCTTATTTGGGACTTGTCAGCTGGATGTACCTGCTTAAAAAGATTGTGACTTAAGGCTGTATCGAGGCAATCCGCAAAGGATGCACATATGCCAAAATGAGACTGATTGATTACAGTCCTAAATAACAATGGGAAGATGCAAGTAAAACAACACCAAGTGGATTTAACGTAAGAAATTCTTTGAAATATGAACATGTTTTGGAAAAGTGCTCATATGTAAAGATTTTCTGACCTTCAAGCCATCATTCTTTGTCTAGTCAACTAGTCATTTGATTCTGGCAACATTCCAAGTCCTTTCAAAGGCAGACAGTTACAATTCCTAGTGATCATACAAAATATTTTACCTTTATGAGATTTGTTGTGCAAAATATATATATATATATATATATATATATATATATATATATATATATATATATATATATATATATATATATATATATATATATATACTAACACCTTTGTCTTGTCATCGTTCTAAATTCAATGTTACTTTTCAATAATAATTTTACTTTCCACACAGATTGTGTTTGATGAATGTCATCGAGCTAAAAATTTAACTCCTAGTGGTTCTCAAAAACCTACAAAAACTGGTCTAACTGTACTTGAATTACAAAACAAACTACCAAATGCTCGGATTGTTTATGCCAGTGCAACAGGTGCTACTGAACCTCGTAACATGGCTTATATGACGCGTCTGGGATTGTGGGGTGATGGGACGCCATTTAAAACATTTAATTCATTCATCCAAACACTTGAGCGACGGGGTGTTGGTGCTATGGAATTGGTTGCTATGGACATGAAACTACGTGGAATGTATATTGCACGGCAGCTCAGTTTTCATGGTGTCAATTTCAGCATTAATGAAGTACTAATAGAGAACGTCAAATTAGGCCATGAAAGCTTTATTCATGTATATAATCAGTCAACTGACCTGGTTAGTGCTCCTTAACTTTATCATCTCATCATTATCAGTATGTTCTCATGATTAATACATAATTTGTTTAACAAATATATATTAATATTCTGTTTGACATATGGTGTACATTAATCACTATAAATGTTATGTCCGGTCGTATATTTTTTAGAAGCACGTATAACTGACCAGTTTAAGTAGCAACCCCGAGAGTGGAACACATTTCTTTAGGTGGGTATTTTAGTATTCCGGCTCAGCGAATAGGTAATGGTGACCGTCCGCTGCAACTATTCTTAGTCAAGGATAAGGAAAAACATCGTCTAACATGGCAACCCTTTGCACCAAACCAACGATGGACTCAAATAGACCGCATACACCATTTGAGAGACTCAATAGAAGACTGCCACTCGTTTTAGAATACATGTCTAGATTCAGATCATGCTCTAGTACGAGCGCGCATTTGCTTGTGTCTCACTGGACGTAGAAAATTCACATTAAGAAAACCCACTTAAGTTGAACTCAGCTATGAGAAAACCAAAGAAAAATTCCAGAAACAACTGAAGTCACAGTTAGGCGATTTTGAGAACGAGGCTGACCCAGATGTTGTTTGGGATGGTATATAGACAGCTATGGAAACAGCAGCGACATTTACTAGTGATTTAAATCAAAGGGTTACGAAAAACCAGTGGATTTCTACTAAGTCTATTGCACTAATTGATTCTCGTAAACTAATCCCATCTGGCTTTGAATACGATAAAGAGCGTAAACAAATCAGATCCAGGATAACTAAAAGTCTAAGGGACGATCGTGAGCAGTGGTGGTCAACGAAAGCAAAAGAGATGGGAAAGTCAGCGACTGTGGGTAACACCAGACAGCTTTTAAGACTAATAAAAGAAACTGGAATTAAAATGTCAAATGTGTCTCGGAAAAAGACCACACTCTTATCTGTTCTCAGCCCAGACGTTTCGAACGATGGGCTAAACTTTAAGGAGCATTTCAGCTGACCGTCAGCTACCCACCATTTCCAAATAGCTTAAGTAGAATATTGAAATAGTCCTCTTCTGACTCTAATTAAAGTTCATAAGTCTATAACTAATCCATATGTATTAGCTCCATAGGTTTTTAAAAATGGCAGCCTAGTTTTAGCGATAAGGTTAACTAATATTTTACTTAAAATCTGGGAGTTGGACGTTATCCCATCTGATTGATCTCAATGACTTATTGTCCCGATATATAAGAAGGGATCAAGATCACCCAGTGACGACCATAGTGGGATTAATTTAACTAACATAGCATCTAAAATACTGACCTCAATAATTATTGAGCGCCTTACAAAGACTCACGGACTGAAAACACGCGAAAATCAGGCTGGCTTCAGACCTGGTTGTGGCTGCATCGACCGCATATTCACAATTCGTGGTGATGGTCCCTCTTGACTTTAATGCAGCATTTGACTTTGTAGACCGGGAGGTTCTGCGGCAGTATCTTTCATTGAGTGGTGTACCTCAGAAGTACACAAACCTTGTGAAGGCTCTTTACTCAAACACTACCAGTTGAGCCAGAATTTATTGCAAACTGCCATCTAAATTTACAACTTCAAGTGGTGTCCAGCAAGTCTGACCACTGTCTGCATTTTTATTTAATTTCATCATTGACTTACTGCTGGGAATCCATTCATCACTAAGCTTACCACAGTCACGTAAACACTAGGTATTTCGATCTACAAATGTTATAACTTGTTTTTTTGTTTAGTTTATTGTTAATAATGTTATTGAATACTGCTAATTTTTTTCTCATAAATTATTTAGTGGGTATATGCATATCGCTTCTTCTCAGAAGCGTCACGTTTATTAGATCTAAGTGATCGTTATCGTAAAACTATGTGGGGACAGTTTTGGTCTGCTCACCAACGATTTTTCAAGTATCTTTGCATTGCTGCCAAAGTGGAAAAATGTGTTGAAATTGCTAAAACTGCTGTCGATGAGGGTAAAGTAAGTGGATATTTGTTTTCCTTCTTTGTTTGACGAATTATGCTACCTAAATTAACGTAAAGTATTACTGGAATCTTACACATTGTGTTTATGATCACGTTTGTGATCACGTGTTTATTGTTTATTTATTTTCGAAGAAAAAAATAATTACCATCGTTAATGGGGATGTTTTATTATTACTTAAAATTAGACGACCCTCGATTATATGTCTCAAAATCGTTTGCAATAACACAGGTGCATCCACCATTTGTGTTCTCCCAAATTCTAATCTTCTGAATTCTTCATGTCCCTTTCTTTTTTCTCTTTCCAAATTTATTTCATTGGATTACACCACGCAATGCTATCCGGTATTGGAAATGGTTGGAAGAAAGTTAGGGGCGGCCAAACCAAAACGTGGCATCAGTGCTTGAAGTCACTAACTTCTAGTCTGAGCCATGTTGGTAGATGCAGACTACTTGGTTGGGGTCCGCGTGACTTTCGTAACCGATGGTTGGAGACTCTTGGTGACATGGCTCAGAATCGATCACAATGGCGTCGGTGTATACACTCCCTGTCTTCCCTTAAACTATGAGATTAAAATAGCTTCATATGTTTCTTTCTACGAACCAATTCTTTCTGCTTGTACTATATCTCTATATGCAATCTTTCTCTTATATATTACCACCTTTTACCTAACCACTGTTATGAATCTGGTGTTCATCTTGTTGTGTTGGTGCGGTATGGCAACCTGGACCGATGCACATATGTGCCTGGTCCTACGTTGTAGCTGACTGACTGACTGGATTACACCACCCAAATGCCCTGGTATGGTCGAGAGCGGATGTACCTGCATCTCAGAGCCAACATTTTTATTACTAGTGTCTGTGCTACTTTTTGTAATCTTAACTTGAACCAGTGCATATATATGTCATGTTCTAGATTACTCAAGACTGTCTAACTAAATATTTTGGAAGCATGGTTAACTTATCTTTATGTGTTTATTTGTTTGGTCATCAAAAAAGTATTTATCATACAAATAAAGAGTTTATGTTCTGAAGAATTAAAGGGAGTAGCAGCAATCAAGAAATTAAATACATGAACAATAATGAAGTATAACGCAAGCTGTACTCAAATAATAATTCAACTTCCAAAGATTTAAGGAAGATGCTATTACTTTTATGACTAATATAAGAAGAAATTACTGCAAGAACTGCACCACTTTCTATTCTGAACTATATCTGATAAAATATCAAGTCAGTGAGTTCCCCCATCTCTACAACTCTGACCAGGCGATCGTGTTGGACCGACAGATGACAGTCCTATATAGCTCACTTTCCCATCACACCACGTTACTATATTATAAACTGATCACCTCCACATTTCCCACTCCAACTCAGTATGGGTAAATATTGCGTGATGTGGAAGCCGCTTGAATGACTTATGTGACACATGTCCAGGTCACCGAAGCCGCTGTTTCGAGTTGGTAACGTTAATTAATTTGTCTTCACTGAAACTGAACACATATTGCCAAACCCCAAAGTAGTTGATAAGTGTTGCCACTGAATGTCAGCAATCATTCGGAGACAACGGTGATAGAACACAGAGAGTTGTTGAATGTCCTCACCTCAAGGCCAGGTTTCGCAGGCACTGGACGAAATTGCTCTAACTGATTGACTGAACTGACGCGGCGTTGCAAACTCGACAGTTTACACCCAGACCAACATCACGATGATCCCAAAAATTGTCCAGATTGGCGCAAGTTTATCTGGCTCTCACTATATGTTGATTAGTCTCATAGTTCACATCACCATTAGCATTCACAACTATCCTGACGCACGACCTTGACTACTACTGGCAGATCATCATAGAGAGTGAGTGACAACACTGGTCCTCATTACTGTTGAGGAGTCCACTTATTTAAACTTAGGTTCTACGACGTATTCGGTTGCTGAGCCAATTTTGTATGTGCAATTAGAGACACTACGCATTAGTTTTGTCCATACATATCAGGAATAAATCCCACGTGTTACTGTGGGAATGAAATAATGACTAAGCATCCATTCATTGCCAGTGGCTATCAGTAATTCATTACCTTTAGTATTTGATATATTACGTTGATTGTGTAATATAATCGTTTATGTTTATCATTTTTACTGTAATCTGATTTGACTTGTGATCTGTTTTTTCTATGACCTTTTGAGATACCGTAAGTGCTGATTATAAATCATATCTCTGTTTCTTTTATCAGTGTGTTGTCATTGGTCTTCAGTCTACTGGTGAGGCTAAAACCCTAGAACAAGTTGAAGAATATGGTTTAGATTTAGGTGAATTTGTCTCAACTGCTAAGTAAGTTAATCTAAACCTTTATTTCAATATATCCATAATACATTTTTCGGTAACTGCCACTTCGTTATATCATTTACATTTGGGCTCTATTACATTTTCAAGCAATAAATATTATTTAGGTAATTATTTTTAGTTTATTTTCTAAGAACATTTTTGTAGGTATTGTTGTAGACTGAAGTATATTACATCGTTACAAAGGGGATTTATGGAACAATAAAGGTAAAGTTAACAATGTCTCGCTTGATACATCTAAGAATCTATGTTCTTTGTCAGAACTATGTAACTTACTACACACATAGAACCAATAAGCCACTTAGTGTGAAACATGAAATATGTGGGTGATATTATTCATGTTTTTAAATCAATGTTCATCATTGTTAAAATCCTATTTATTTGAAATTCTTTTTCTTTACAGGGGCGTGTTCCAGTGTCTGGTTGAAAAGTATTTTCCAACACCAACAAATGTTGAGAATTTCTCTCTTCGAGGGGATAAGCTAGCATCGGCAGGTGATCGCAGCTCTAATACAACTCTCAATAGAGCAGGACGCGCAATAGCTGCTGGTCAAGGAAGTGGTCTTGGTTTGAAAGATATTTTGGGTGAAAAAATGCTTGCAAAGCTAGTTGCTGGTGGTAGTTTATCTGGATCGAAATTAAGTGATGATTATGAAAATTCCAGTAAAGTTGACGGTGTAGGATCTGATTCTGATGACGATGATGGTAATGAACATTCTGATGAGTCAGATGATGATGATTCTGATTTGAATAATCTTCAAAAAGCTAATGGCTGTAACCTTTCAGATGGGAATTCATCATCTGATTATTACGATTCAGACCTGGAAGTGAATTCACCAAACAACAATCCCAGTCGAAATAGATCAAAAAAGTCAGATTCTTCTAAAAAACAGTCTCATTCAGGTAAACGTAAACAAAAGTATAACCGAGCTGGTGGTTCACCGAATTGCTTGTCAGATGATTCGGACGAAGATTGGGATCCGGACGCATTATTTGACAGCTTTCTAGCTCGCAACATGACTCTGTCCAATTCGAACACTAACAGTGATATAACCAAGCGATTCGATGACAGCAAGCACTTTGGAGATGATATTTGGGGTGATGAGTTGACTCGTAAATTATCACAACAGTATCTTATGGGTCGCGGTTCAGGTGCAGCTAATCAGTCGCTGATTGCTAACAATGAACTGAAGGTCTCTCCCGAAGAAGCTAAACGGCAATGTACTGAAATGCAAAGTTTACTTTTGCGTTTCATTGAAAAGCTTGGTCCAAAGTTACCTCCCAGCTCCCTTGATGAGTTGATTGACAAATTGGGTGGACCCTCACGGGTTGCTGAAATGACAGGTAGAAAGGGTCGTATGGTGATGGGGGATGATGGCCGCGTTTCTTATGAATCTCGTCGTGAAAGTGACGTCAATTTAGAACTACTTAATCTTACCGAAAAACAACGCTTCATGAATGGCGAGAAACTAATTGCTATTATCTCTGAGGCAGCCAGTAGTGGTATCTCCCTTCAGGCGGATCGAAGGGCATCTAATCAACGCCGACGTGTTCACATTACATTGGAACTTCCTTGGAGTGCAGATCGCGCAGTTCAGCAGTTCGGTCGTACACACCGATCCAACCAGGTTAGCGCTCCAAAATATATCTTTCTGATTTCCAATTTGGCTGGTGAGCAGCGTTTCGCCTCTACAGTTGCTAAACGTTTGGAGTCTCTTGGTGCTCTAACTCATGGTGATAGAAGAGCTACAGAAACTCGTGATTTGTCGCAGTTCAATTTGGATACTAAACTCGGACGAGAAGCTTTAGAGTTAGTATTACGTGCTTGTATTTGGGGCGATGAGGGCATAGTTGATCCTCCAAACGACTATATAACTGACACTCCTATTGACGTTGCTGTCGATCGGGACAATGTGAATGCTCAGTCTTTCTTTAACGATGTTAAAGCAAGTTTACAGGGTGTAGGTTTGGCTACTGGTCGATGTCGTGAAAAGGATAGTAATCAAATGTCTAAATTTTTGAACCGCATTTTAGGTATACGTGTTCATATTCAAAATGCACTCTTTCAATACTTTTCGGACACATTAGAAGAAGTTACCAGACGTGCTAAACGTGATAATCGTCTGGATCTCGGAATTTTGGATCTTGGTACTTCTGGTCAGAATTTGGAAATAACATGGACCAAAAGTTTTGATACTTGGTTTTTATCAGAATCTACTCAAGTTCATTTACACAAAGTAACTGCTGAACGCGGATTACCATGGTCTGGTGCTATGGAAATATACACTCAGCATGATGGTGTAAATGATGGTTTTTATTTGCCATCGGTTGTTAGTAGCAATAAAATTGTTATACCTGTTCTAGCTGTATATGTGAAAACTCGTACTACGCGATCGACCAGTAAACCCGATTCAAAATTATATCGTATCTATCGACCAAATACTGGTATGCAGGCACGACCAATTGAACTCGAAAAGTTACAGGAACGATATACCCGTGTTTCTAATCCTTCAGATTGTCAAGAGCCTTGGAGCCGGATATTTAAAGAAAGTGCTAGACGTTGCATTCATATGTTACTTCATGGGTTTTGTTCATCAACTATCCAAAGTCGAACATTATGTGAAGTCGGTTTACGAACGCGTAATTACTATGTTCTTAGCGGGTCAGTGTTAAATGTATGGGCTAGAATTGAACCTTTTCTTCAGCTGCGTTCAAATTCTACTCGTTGTATGCAAGTTGTACGTCTCAAGTCAAAGGATGGGAAACGTATTGTTGGGTCCCTTATCCCTCAAGAATGCGTCCAGGATGTATTGGCTTGTTTGTCACTACCTCCTGAAACAGAGCACACATCTTCTAGTGATAACTTGGATAAAAAGTGTGGTTTGCCTCACATGGAAGAATCTTCAGGAATTTCAAATAATTTTAATTTATCACCTCATATTCCTAACGTTCCTTGGCCTAGAGGTCAAACTTTCAATGTAAACCCAAATCAGCAGTCTAGATTATACGGTGGTCGTCCACCTTCATTTATAAATCAACGACCCAGTAATATTATACGAAAAAAGATCCCACCTCATAATCCTGGAAATATGTACCGTGGTTCATTGTTTACTCAAAGTTCATCTGAACAACGTCGTTTTGGCACACTACGAGAAACTTTAACCACTGATTTAAATTATATACCAAGTCATTCCAATGGTTATCTATCTACCACATTATCACAATCTCATGTATCCAATTCTTCAAAAAGTGTGAGTCCAATGTACTCAAACACTTCTATACACAATTTTGGATCTACTCGTTTAAATTCTAATACAAAAATGGGAAGTCGATTAAATGCTGCTCTATCATTACCATTACTCTCTGATAATCCTAATATTCAATATCAAACATCATGTAGTAGTAGTAGTAGTACTACTACTACTACTAGTAATGTTAATTATTCTTCTACATTAACTAATCGTATCAATGATATACCATCATCTAATATCTCATCTGTTAATAATAATAATAATAATACAATTATTCCTTCTAATTTCTCAACGAATACAATGAATAATGTAAAAAATTCTTCAAATAAAGTAACACGTTTCAAAATAAAATGGAAAGATGGATAATGAGTATATTCCATGATTAAATTAGTCTTTCTATTATTATTTTGTAAAGTCAACAATCTCTTATTTGTACTTTCTTACTTATCCTTTTAACGAAGAGAAAGAGACAGAGAAAGAGAGAGAGTATATGGTTATTATTAATGAATTTGTTATATAAAACTAAAGATTTTCTTTCTTTTCTTTTTCTTTTTTTTCTCATCATTTAGTTTATTGAATTATTTTTCTATTAAACATTTCACTGGTGTCAATAATTAATTTTTAGATCAGAATTTTGTGTAAAGAAAAAAAGAAAAAAAAGGATTATTCCTTCTTTCATATGAACTATAAATTGTAATGTGTAATCTCTGTATAATTAATCAATCTATGATGTAATGATATCTCCTTTCTTCTTCTTGTTCTTCATGGTCTTCTTCTTATTACTTATGCCTGTTACTTCCAATAGAGGAGGAGTATAGTCAGTTCACATTGTCCTGGATCACTTTTTTTTTCTTCCCTTTCCTTCTCTATTCTATCTCAATGGTTGTTTATTTCTTCTTGTTCATAACAGTTTTATTTGTATATAGTCTATTTTTTTTTGTTTCCTTATTAAAAAAAAAAGAAAAGAAAAAAAGAGTTTGTCAAATGTGAAAATATTTGATGTTCTATTTTTGTTTTTTTTTCTGCTGACTACCTCTTTAAAAAAAAAAAAACATGATTGTTACTGTACGTTGAAATTGTGAACAATTATTTCTTTCTTTCTTTCTTTGTTATCTTTTCAATTTTTGATTTCTTTTAATTTCTTATTGAATCTATTTGAATAGACTTTTTGTTGTTCTTTTCTATTCTATTCTTAACCAATTAAATTTAGTCGGTATTCTGTTTATGGTACTTGTAGAAGATATAATCAATTTGTATTGGTTTCTTATTTCAGATGAATAAAAACAATAAATATCTTTCTATAATAATTACAAATGAGTAATATTAGTTCTTAACGAATGTCTTTGACATTCTTTATTATTTATTTATTAGTTGAAGAGTTAGACATTAACATCGTTGGATGCCGACTCAATGGTCTAGTGGTTAAGCGCTCGCGCGCCAGACTGATAGGTCCTGGGTTCGAATCTCGCGGGATCGTGGATGCGCACTGCTGAGGAGTTCCAAAATGGGACGAAAGGGCCGTCCAGGTTTTATATGGTGGTCTAGCTTCAACTGACTCATGATCTCAACCATTGAAATTAATATCCACAAAACCCCTTCTGATATTTATTTAAACACATAAATCTTGGTACAAGGAGGCACTAAATAGGTATGCGACACATAAATCATTCGATTTGTGTGAGGGCTAGGATACTGCCTGAGTGCTCAAACAGAAGCAGGTGGTTTACTCGGGGGCCACATCCGGATCCCTCGACCTAAAGGTCTAATCCACCAGACAGTGGAGCGACGTTAGGGGATGTAGTCCCATGGTAGCCGGTGACCAATAATTGGTTCCTACGCCATTTATTCATTCTGGATCCCATATGCACCATTGGTTTGCGATGAAGGTTTTCCAACTCCCATAGGTGGATCCTCCGTGTTCACCAACCCAGTTATTCACTATTCGTCCTCATTTTCGTAAACAATACCCCCGTCACGAGAAGGCAGTGAGTAGGATTTGTATACACGTGGCCATGTGAGATTATTTCGAGAGGGAGAGTTGACTCTCCCCACTCTCGGTCGTAACAGGGCATTTGAGGGCTCATTTTCTCTGTACTTCAAAGTTTATCAGGCCATGTATAACTGGTTTAAGTTTCTAAATGCGACAACTAAGCAAAATAAAATCTTAGTCATTTTTAGTAAAAATCTAAGTTCAACAACTCTTACTTCATCTCATGTTAATTCTGTGTTTATCGCACTTGTTAAATATTTTACTAGCTCATATTTATCTTGTATCCTGGATTTGACTTTAACATCACTTACTGAGTTGTCTCAACGTTCACTAGCAACGCTTTACAGACACCTGTGGTCGAATACTACCAACTAACAAATCTATTTATGAAGGTTACTTTTTACTAGACGGGTTGCTGAGTGGTAGATTCATCCTACAACTAAGGTGCATCTCATTTATGCCATAATTGGGCAAAGGTCAAATAATTTCTGAATCCACTAGGCCTGATGAGACTATAAGCCCTCGATCTGGCTCTATAACGAGTGACGATCAATGTACCATAATATTAGAATTTTACTCTTAACTCCGTATATTATACTTAGGCTAACCCAGTTTAGGCGACATTAGTAATAAGAATCCGAATACAAATTATATTGAGAAGATTCATTCCAAGCAAGGTGAGAAGTGAAATGGGAAAGGTAAATGTATCAGGTCTCCCTAGCTATGACGTGGATTATAGCCATGAATGATACAAGTGGGTATTTGGACATGTATGATTGTGCGCTCATATCAATGACAAAATAACTTGCAAGATTAAAATAATTATCTGTTGTAGAGTGAGGATGGATTGTGTTAAGCGTGTAACAATCCTAGTTGCTACGTGATAACCATGATACATGAACTAACCACTATATGTCATTAGATCGGGCGTTGATCATGGCTAGTTCTGCGGCCGAATTCAACATTTAGAGTGAAGTAAAAGTTTGTTCTTCCTTGCTTGCAATCTGCTCTACTCTGGAAACATATCAAGTTAGCTTGCTTTCTTTTCAATTAATCATACGCAACTTAGAACCTGGTTCAAGTGAGCTCATGGGAGGCATACAATATCCAAGCGTAGTCAACATGGTGAAGGTTAGAGATTTTGTGAAATAAATAAATTTATTGGTCTATGTAACGTTTTTGTATATAGTATTGGTCTGTGTTAAATCACATAATTACCGTCAAGTAACTCTGTGATTGTAGTTCGTTGATGATAAAGGGACGTCCAAAACAGATGAATTAGTCACCATGCTTAACTACCTCACTCTCTGCCATTAGTCTATATGTTGATACAGAGTAGTCTTGAAGCACATTTTGTTTTAAAAGGAGAAAAACGTCACAAACTTGTCGAAATTGTTAACCAAGATAGTCAAAAGACTACATTTTGTTAGCACCGATAAGTCTGAAAGCTATATCTTTAAAAGAATATCCGTCACCATAGTGAATAAATATAGTGACAAACAACTCTGACTAATGCAACTTAAGGTTGATTATAAGCAAAGATGGATAGTGGCTAGCAGTGGAATCCAGGACGCGCGTTTCGTCCTCTATGGGACTCAGCTGGATGTACCTGCATATCAGAGTTGATGTTCACTTTGCTTATAATGCTTGTAAATTAAGGCAATATCAAGGCATACGCACAGTATGCACATATGCCAATAAGAGACTGATCAATTTCAGTCTTAAAACATCAATGGGAGGATTCAAGTAAAAACAATATCAAGTGAATGAAGGTTGATTGTTCACCATAAACTTTCACCAGATCGATAGTCTTTGGATGTGTAATTGTCGTTCTAAGCTGCTTTCGTTCTTCATCGTGTTCTGATCCTGATAGGATACGTTCCTGAATTACGGGTAAATATCACTGCTTATTATTTAGATATTTGGATATCATACCAAACTATTTCGGAGTGAATACTTTCATGACATAATTATTCTTTTCCTGAAGTACCTACTTGATCATTTTACCAAATCTAAGGAATTTATTTAATTCTATGCCTAAGTAAACGAAAGTTAGCAGTCAAATTTTAGGTACTCATTGAGTTAATCACCCTGATCTGTAGTATTGTCGAGGTAAAGTCAACTGAGTGTTCGTACTTGGTTGCTGTATATGTGCTTGGGAAATGCAGCATAAATTGGTGCTATGAGACATTTCGCTGATTACGATCTGGTATTTGGATGTTGAATATTCCAGTATTAGAGCTTCAAGCGTGATCTCAAGGGACATTGGATGGTATTTCGGGAACTTAGATCGTTAACACTAATAAGACATGGAAGTAGGCAGAGACTCTTGGTGAAAATAGAAAAGATGCTTAACAGTTATGATGAGATCAGACAGCAACTTTGAATACTATTAAAGGCGTACGAACGATTGTCCACATTGTGGGGGCACTTCTTGATGAACATGAAAACTAAATTGTATTAATAGTTGTCTTGTCTAATTAGGATTGTGACTTCACAACTAAAGAATAACTGCTTAAAGCCGGTTATACACTGCACGTTTTTTGGGTAGTTTTAACTCTGTTAGCAACGAGAAAGATGGTTATAGAAAATGAGATTTTCTGTTTTCAGGGTTGACCTTTTGTATCCTCATTTTGTTGTGGAAAAGTAGTCCTGGAGGCTGGTTATATGGAGGATTACAGTATATTTAAGTCATGAATTCGATGATTGCTGGGTATACATTCTCAATTACCTACTTTCATTTGTAGATTACAATATGTCACTAGAATCGATATGATTTATGAAGCCAAATAAACAACTATTATTATCTGAAATCATGAATCACCATTAAAAACTGGGAGCACCAAACGGCCTATTCATCCTAGTATAGGACTCGTCAGTAGGTGGCATCCATGACCCCGCACTCGGAAATAGAACCCATTATCTTCGATCTTTTGCACGAACGCTTAATATCTAGACCACTGAGCCGGGATCCAACATTGTTAATGTCCATCTTCAATCAATCCACGATATTGCACAGCTATCTTCCATTGTTATTTTTATTTAGGATAATTAGATTATAAATGTCAATTCCCTAATATATAAACTATGGGGACTGATTATTTTGTCTAGTACGATAGTTGATAGTTAAATGGCAAGGCTATTCAGAACATAAAGTTCAACATCGATAACAAAATCCTTGAACTTGTAATAATACTAATACAATTTTACAAATTAAATAAACCGGTTAACAGATAATAACTACAGAATTCACAAGAGTGTAATTAATTTTGTTGAATACAATACATCTTATTTTGTAAACTCACAGTTCGAAATCATTTGATTTGTGTGACGTCTGGAATTCTAACCGGATGCCCAAACCGAAGAAGGTGACTTTCATATAGGGTTACACTACCAACCTTTAACCTAGAGGTCTAGTTCACAAGACAGTGAAGCAACGTTAGAAGATACAGTCCCGTGGTAGCCGGTGACCAACAGTTGGTTCATAATCCTTTTATTATCTCAGGATCCTGAGGCCTATGTGCACTATTAGTTTGGAATCAGGGTTTTGAAAACCTCATAGGTGGATCCTCCGTGTCCACTAACCCGATTAAAGTGCCATATATTCGCTTTTCATCCTCTCAATTTTGTAAACAACATCCCCGTCACGAGAAGGCAGTGACTAGGACTTCCCTGACAGTGGTTATGTACACGTAGTCATGTCAGGGTATTTCGATAGGGAGTGCAGAATCTCTCCATCTTTGGTCGTACCAGGTCTTTGGATGTGGTTTTAAAACATATAATATAGTATTTAATCTATTACTGAGATTTCATTTCAGTAATAATAATAACAAACTAACAAATTACTGTCCTTTTAAAACTGGTTATAGATAATATAAAGTTTATATAATCAATATCACTTAACTAATATCTATCTATATTTTTATCTATGCAACATTATTATTATTACCATCAAGAGAGTTATTTTGAATTCAATTATATCACATTCTCAGTATAGGGGTTGTGGAGATTATGTTTTTGATTAAGATCATGAATCGATTGATGTTAGACCACCGTTGGAAACCTGGAATCACTGGACGACCGTTTCGTCCTATTATGGGACTCCTAAACAGTGCGCATCCACGATCACGTCTCACGAGATTCGAACCCAGGACCTTTAATCTCGCGCGCGAACACTTCACATTTAGACCACTGAGTCCGATGGTGTTAATGTCTAACCTCAAACAATCCACGAAATTGCGCGACCATCTTCCAGTAGGTTAAGCATTCACCCGCGAGACTGAAGGCCCTGGGTTCGAATGCCACGAGTGGGATCGTGAATGTG